AAGCCTCTGAAAGGGTGTCATGCTGCAGAACAACGAGCCAAGCACCACGTACATGTACTTCATGCACTGGTCATAACCTTGCCCACACACACCTCCTCAGTTCACTGACAACTCTCTGTTCTCTTCCAATTTATAAAGCCCTACTCACCTATCACAAAACCCCCATGCCAAATAACAACAGACAGACAAAAAGATATATATCCAAGTCTTCTCAACTGTTGCTCAGAATCCATTTCCATCCACTGCCAGTTTACAATCATTTTAAATTATTGTGTACTTAGGGAAGCAAGAATTGCTACTGAGAAAATACTTACAAACCTAATAACTAAGCACAGTCACACTTTTCTAATAGCTAGGTTTTCTTGGTGGTGCCTATTTAGGGTGATTGCAATTTGAGGTTAAAAAAATTGGCTGTGATAGTACAAATATGAGGTCAGTGAGTAACTTGGCGAATACTGATTTCACAGAAATACCAACAGAGTATGTTAATAAAATCAGCGCTGAGCAATAGAGTTTGCTTTTGTCTGCCATTGAGGCTCTTTGTCTAAAGCAGGAATTTAAAGGGCATCTTCTTGTGCTCATTGAAATTATAACAACTTAAAACTGTTATTGCACCTGCTCACTCCCAGGCATCTTGGATAGTCTCCAACAATGTTAAAATGAAGTTACCCTTCATACAGAGTTACCTGATTGCACTAAACTGATGTGCAAGCATTAATGGTTTAAATTGTGATGTAAAAAAAAGGAATAGCAGAAGTTACCTTGCTGTTAACAGGCAGGGAACAGGGTGCAGGGTGCAGGCTAAGGAACAAAAATCATCCTCTGAGTTTTAGTATTTCCTCATCTTCTGTTTCAACAAGACCTATTTAGGTTCAGGTGAGGCATATCTTAAGATCTTCTGGCAACAGGTGTGCAACATTAATGATCTGAGCAGGGTATATTTAGAGAGCAAGGGTTGGAAGGTGGTCATTTTCCTTCTTTGCCTTTTCCTGTGGAGGGGTGGTTGGCTTGAGGTGGGCCCAAAGACGGTAGGACAAGGTGTGTGGGTGGATTAATTCAGTGTTCTGTACTCATAAATGGTTTTGTAATTATTTTCCCTGATGTTTCTCTAATGTACAGCTTTGCTGAGGAAGAGCTTAATTTTTGTGTGCTACAGAATCACATGGTGTTGCACTTTAATTCTTCCAGGCCTAAATTGAAAAAAGTAGCCTGATTTGTGTCTCTTTCTGTAAGAAAGAGAAAAATAAGCAAAGAAATCTAGAAGGAAAAATCTCAAGTAAAGTTATCTCTCCAGACACTTATGTGTTACTAAGAAATTGAAGGGCAACACTAAACACTTCTAGACATGGATTATTATTTTTTTAAAGTTCTAATTTATTAGAACAGTTGATGACATCGTTTTGGTCAAGACTAATGACCATTCTCCCAAATCAGTTCTGGGCATAGATCAGGAGTCACTGCAGGCCCAGAGGCCTAGGATTATTCCTGGTAAATCACTTCAATGTGGCCGTCCTGTTTTGGAGGGTATTATGGACTCCTAAATTTTACTAATACATCCTACTGGTTCACCCAATTACTCATGTTTTGTTAGAATGCTAAACTGCTGTTCCTGGAAAGAAATGAAAACTTAATATCAAAAGAGATGGAACATTTTCCCTACTTTTTTTGAGAATTTATTCCTCTTAATCATTTGAGCTTACTGTATGTTTTGAAGTACATGGCTCCAACATCCAGTCACTGGTTGGTTTGTTGGTTTTTTGGTTTGGTTTTTTGGTTAGTGGTTTGTGGTTTTTTTCCTGTTAGCCTATGGTCATTCAATATTTCTTTCTTCAGGAGATATTTATACACTGTAGTCAAACCTGATTTTTATAACAGATTGTGTTCTTCAGGTCTCTGTTCGTAAGTTTTATAATAGTTTCTGCAGTTCTAAAAAAAATACTGCTGTTCTCTTCTGCATCAACACCCATTTTCGATAAGGATAAAATATGGATAGCCATTGTAGTTATGCAGACTTCTAGTGTAGTCTTAGTTCTCAACTCCCTTCTGCATCCTTTTCCAAGCTGTGTTGATTTGTAGCATTGCAGCTGGAGCCTTTTTTCAGCTTCTGTCTCCTGCAATACTTCCCAAAGTCACTCCTGTCCAGCCCACAGCCTCCCAAGCTCTAGGCAGAGCCTCTGTTTCTTCTGCAGTTGTATGTTTGGCTACAATTTGTTTGAAAAGGTCCAGATCATCCCAGAATGACTCGGATTGCTCCATACAAGTGCCCTGTCTGCTCAAGTAACTAATCTGTGCTGTCCACAAATGTTATGGGAAGTGATATTTACAGCCTCAAAACAGCTTTACTATGTTAATTTAATAATAACCACAAATATAATAAAAATGTCATAATAACAATGCTCTGCAAAAGTATCTTTCTGTCAATGGCAATTAATTGACCTTTATTTCCTAATTTTTATTTTTTTTATTTTTAATCTACATTTGTTTGCTTTCTGTTAATCCATTTTCCATTTATTACTTATTTGAATATTGTCCATTTTGTGATTAATATGGGATTATTTTCTTTAAAAAAATATTATTCAGCATATATTTAAGGAGCTGCTATAAATCAGTGCTTAGTGATGACATTCAGGCTTCAGCATCATATTCTTTAGGGCAGAGTTCTGTGAGTATGGAGCTGTTTCTCAAAACTAGAAAAGCCTTAATAGGAGAATGTCCTGAGCCATTTTCACTGTAAACTACAAGGGGTCAATGTCAAAATGGAGCTACCTGTGGCAACAAAAATAGTATTTGAAAATGCAGATAGTATTGTGGTGAAACTTTTGCCTGTCCTATTCTGTATTCTTACCAGAGTCTTTTATAAAGTATCCATCTAATTCTAAAATTTTTTATTAGAGAGAAAAAAAACAAACCCAGGACTTTATAGCAGTAGCAGCTGATGAATGTGACTAGTTGTAAATCTGGAGTACAGTCTGATTGTAAGTCTGGAGTAAAGCAGAAGCTAAAACTTTTATCCTCATCTGTTCAGACATATCGAACACAGAGCAGAACCCTCCATGAAGTTCAAGGCTCTCAAGTTTCCTTAGGCCAAAGACATACACATAGTTTATAGAGTCAAAATAAACAATCAGCACAGCTTTGAAAAAACGGCTAAGCCATTTCTGTTTGTTATTAGCCCAGCTGGTCAATTATTTGCTTCTCAGCATGCCTGCTAACCATCTAGAAGTTTCTACTGTTATTCTCCTCACCATGTATAACATAAAACGTTCACTTCTCAACTATTTACAATAGACTTTCCTCTTTATACTTTAGCTGTTAAATAAGCTCTTGAAATATTTGCTTGGAGTAATAAGTATTTTCAAGTAAGTAGTCTCTTGCTTTTCCTGTTCACAGTCTTGCATTCAGAAATGAAGTTCAAGTGCTAAAAGCCGTCCAGTTTTACTTTTCAGCAGTAAATAACCTAAGCTATCTCCTAAGTTACAGAAATTTGCACTGCATGAAATGTAAGCCAATCACAACCTTCAAGTATAGCCACATATTTAGGAAAAAATTGCTGGGATTAGGAAATAGTATGAAGCAGTAGCTGGGGGTTTTCTTGTGCTCAGCACTCTCAGGCTGAGGAATCCCAAAGACGGTGCCAGAAACTCGAAAGCTATTTACGAAGGCACTCGGGCACATCCTACAGAGCTAAAGGATCGCTTGTTTATCTACAAGGAATATTCCTACCAGTAAAACTACTGCAATTTGCAGAAGGCAATGAGTATGTTGTGTAACAGAGTTAGTACCTACTGAAAAGACCCTGCTTTTAGGAACAGTGTGACTTTTTTTTTTGGATCCACAACTTGTTCAGAAACCTTAGTGAGCTGGAATAATGTGACACCAGAACCATTTTTTTTTAATCATTTAGTGGTTTTCGTTTTCTTTCCTTTATGTTCCTTGGGAATATTAGAATTATCTGTGTGTTTTGTACTCTTTGCCATATAAAAATAAAGATGGATGCTATATCTGCAGGGATCTTAAAGCAACAAATTTGGGCTCTGTGATAGAATTTTTTTATTTCATGCTACCAACATGTGTGAGAAACCAAAGAAACAGTTTGAGTAAGCAGTCAGCTCTTAGTTATCTGCACATCCAACCTGAATTGACTTAAGCAAAGGCAAATTAGGATGGGAGTTGCAACATTAGCTCATGTTTTACCATCCTGTATAGCACAGGCTAGTTTTAGCCTTCCAAAAGTCTAATGTGAAACTCTGGGACAAACAGCTCTTGGATGCATCCCTTTGTTTACATGGTGAATGTAAACTGCAATCCTCTATGGTTTGAATTTTAACCAAGATCATTACACTACTTGGTTTCAAGGCATCAGGGAGCTCTCCCTAAATATCTCAGGCTAGGCCCCCAAAATCAGTAGTGGCATTTGAAAAAAACCACTTAGTTAGAATATATGTCATCCACAGTGGTGCTCAGCAGTGAGCTAGAGGAGCAATCTCTAAGACATATCTGCAGCCTAGCTAGAAAAGATAAATTCATCTTGGATCAGAAGCCTAAATGCTTCCTTATAGGGATAACTCAGGCAAGCAGCAGACTTCAATGGAAACTGCCGGCGTTCAATAGCTACGTAATGGCAATCACCCTTATTGTCAACCTCGGCTACACACAGGATGGAAAAGGAGATCTTTCATTAACTGTATAGAAGGCTGTCACTACAGCAGATCTGTATCATAGTCCGTCAAGTAGAATGCAATTTGTCAGTTCCTGTGTAGCAAATTATGATGATATCCGTTTAAAAACATGTTTGCAAGCAGTCAGCTGGCGAGTGCATTGTATACTGGCCCATCTGTTACCACAGTAATTGGGTCATCCGCTCCAGAAGAAGCTGTTTTGCCTGCATAGTGACAGAAGCAATGACCTCATACGAAGAAAGCCTGTATTGGACCAGGAATTCTAACAGTGGGGTAGAGGAAAGAAAATATTTCTACAGAACCAACTGGAAACACCAGACCCCCATGAGGCACGTGTTCAGCTGGGGCTCTGGAGCAGGTCTGATTGCCCCTCAAGAAGCCATACTGAAGGAAAAAGGTTCTAGAAGTGATCATTACAGAGGTGACTGCAACTTACCTCAAGAGAGGGCTGCCAGGACTGTCTTCCTGTCCAGCACTGCTGATAACCAGGACTAGCTGTCTTCCTGTCCAGCACTACAAATCACCAGCTTCAGCACCCTTCTGTTAACACCAGGTACTGCCTATGTGGAAAAATGATAATGGGAAGTGGTTATGGGTGTATTTTAATTTTTTAGGTTGGCAATTTTAATTTGGAGTTTCCTTTTTAATAAGAGTAAATAAGAGTTGGTTTCTGATTTGAAGATAATCAGGTTTTTGGTTACAAAATTTATGAAGTTATAACTCCTATTTTACTTGTTCACTACAGGAGAATCAGGTCTTTCTCTACATTAAGTACTAATTTTTCCTTTCTCTCTCTGTCTCTCAAGGCCATTACCCCTTAGAATAATTTTGCTTTAAGAGAAGATTGTAACTCTTCTCTATCCCTAGCAATTTTAAAAGCTAGAGTACCTCCCTTTTTTAAAGTTAGCCTCTAGTCTGAACAAGAAACAATTGTTACAAAAAGTTTGTTACTTCATTAGTCTTTTTTCAGTCTTTAATCTTTTTCAATCTGAACCTTTTAATTTTCTCTTCTGAGACAAGCTCCCCTCCTAGGTACACAGAGTGAGTTTCTGAGAGTTCAGATGTCCATGATGCCTTGGCCACCTCTGCAGTACAAAGTCAGGCAAAAGTTTTTTGTAGTTAAGCTCAACAGCTTCTCACTGACACAGATCTATGGAAAATATGTAAAATAAATTGAGCAATTAATTAAAGTTTCTCCTCAAATTTAAGGGAAGCATCTAATAGTTTAGAGATTAAGCACCAAAATTGGAATCATGGAATGGTTTGGGTTGGAAGGGACCTTAAAGACCATCTAGTTCCAACCTCCCTGCCATGGACAAGGACACCTCCCACCAGACCAGGTTGCTCAAAGCCCCATCCAGCCTGGCCTTGAACACTTCCAGGGATTGGGCATCCACAGCTTCTCTGGGCAACCTGTTCCAGTGTTTCACCACGGTCATAGTAAAAAATTTCTTCCTAATAGCTACTCTAAATCTACCATCTTTCAGTTTAAAACTGTTACCCTTTGTCTTCTCACTGATAAAGAAATACACACATATTCTCCAAATGAAGCCCAAAACTGATTTAGTGGAAAGAAAGCTGAAGTAGGAAGACAAAAGGAAAGTTGAATCCTTCTAAAATGAAGCTTCATACATCACACTCTCCCACTAGTTCAGGCTTTGTGACCACCAGGGTCACTTCTGGCTTTATAGGCACTGACTCTCCCCTGTCAGCAATATGCGAGTGGAACCTTCAGCTCCATCAGCCATTCCCATCACTTCTTTCACACTGGACTTTAAAATCCCCCAAAATATTTAACAGAGTCATCGCCTGAACAAGACAACAGTTGCTGAAACTCATTAACGTTTGACTTAATCTAGCAGGCTGCATCACTGCCAATCAATCAGTTTCTTAGATGAGCCTGTAAAATATGCAGTGAAAAACACACAGCAAAGACAAGCTCATCACATTTCTGCCAGCTTGGGCTAAGGGCTTGTTTCTAGTGGTAAGGAAGCTAACTTTTGAAATAAGAGCTAAAACTGAGGCAGCCAGGGTAAGATTCAAACACCTTTTCAATACATAGTGGGATCATGTTATCCATATAACATCAAGCTCCTCAGTGCAATTATCTTTGTGTGCTCTTCTGTCAAACTGTTCTGATGGCACTTGGAGGCCCAGTTTTCTATGCATCTGCATCATCTTAGCCTTGTGGCAAATGCATGATGTCCTATGAGATTAGTCTGGTCAGGCCACTAATAAAACTAAACACTTATTTGGATGCCCAGCTTTATCGTACTACTTTTTGTTTTCCTGCACTGCTAAAAAACCTGGAATTTGTTCACATACAGTCACTTGATACAGTAGGCATGGTACATGCTAAAGCAGACAGTGCTCAACCTCATCTAAACCGTTTTCCTTAACGAACTCCATTTTTTCCTACAGAAGTAGCCTTGCATTTATGAGACAGCCAGAAGGTGTGCCAACATCCAGGGTAAGTTTATAAAATATCTGCTGACAGATGTGATTCACGGGAGACTTTGAAGGTTAAGGTTTCTGTTTCTCTTCCTTGTAGTATCCACAACTTTTCTTTGATGATCCTGGCTTGAGGCAGTGACATGAACCGATCCACCCGGGAGGGTCTGTTGAGTGGCTGCCTTTAAAACAATCACCATCAACGTTTTACAGATCAACCAGCAGGGGTCCTGCCTTTGCCAGCGATGAAAATACACTTAAAGGTCTCATTGTTAATTGGGTCATGTTCTTTCTGGTGGAGTTTACTGGGTGTTGAATTCATCTCTTTCCGCTAGGCATATAAATATTATAGTCATAATAATAATCCCAGCAGTAATACATTTATTATGTTTATTATCACTAGACCAAGCAGCTGTATTCTTGGAGGAAGACCCTGTTTTGCTGGACGCTACACAAGCCCAGAATAAAGCAGGCGGCCCCAGCTGAAGGGGCTAATGATCTAAGTAGGAGGCAGGATTCAAAGCTGGATAGAGACCAGCTGGCGCAGGAGGCCAAGGAAACAATAAGACAGCGCTAATCAGTGAATATGCTGTGATCTCAGCAGAACAACTCTCTGTTGACAAGCTTTCAGTGGAAAAGCGTTTCTCCCCCTCCTTGAAACAATAAGAAGGAAAAAAAAAAGTTTTAAGAAGTAATTAAAAAGAGGCTAGTATATTAATCTTGTATGTTTATTGGGGTCAACTCCTAATTGTGGAAGGGCAAGTTCAGAAGAAAACCCAGGAGTGCTTGTTTGAAAATCTAACATAAGGGGTAACGCTTGTCTTCGGGTGGATGGATAGACAATGGGAACCTAGGAAAGGAAGAATGACACAAGACAGAGCAAAACAGAATATGCAAAAATAGGACTCACAGAGTGAGGTGAATTTGGGAAATACGCTTGGCAGTAGCATTCTAATGGGACAAGGGTAAATTTACTAATGCTGCAGGGAAAAAAAAGTTTCAGTAACCAAGATGAGATAATGAGAGCCTGGATGATTTTTTTAGCTGAGCATGTGTTGACTAGATCTCTACAGGTATCCACTCAAATAGAGTAATGAAGTACCACTTTAAAGTAGAAAAAGGCAATTTCTATGAAACAAACAGATTAGAAAAACCTTCACAATCTAGAATTTCTTGTAGTTACATAATTAATATATTGGTCATCTTAACACTCAGCAGCTTCAAATCATACTTATCCCTAATTTTTTTTCCTCTGGACATAATTTGAAAAAGTCATGACTATCCACAACTAGAATAGTTGTACACACAATTAGACCTCTTTAAGGGTGTACTGCAGGACAAAGTGTTCTGTTAGAGCTAGTGTTACTAGATATCTTATTCAGGCTGTACATGTTGCAGAGCAGTGGAATTAGCTAACAGCGTTATTTGATAGCACTAGTGGACAAAAACTTTGTAGATCTTGGCTCTCTAAATCCATGCACCAGTACCCAATGATTCCTGCAATGTAATTGAATCTTTTCCACGAGACTTTTAACTAGAATTGAAAGGGCTTTTTTGCCTATACAAGCTCAATTTTTTCATTTTATAAAATTGTAGTATTACACCTACAGCTTTGAAAACATTACAAAGCTTTCTGTTAACTTTGTCCTCACTGGTTTCAGCACCTGTTATATTAACTGCAAAAAGGATTTCTAGGAAACAATCACGATATAAGGAATTGAAACTATTTCTCTAACTTTCTGTCAAAGTTAAAATGACTTTTCTCTGTGTTGTACAGTTTCCCCTCTAGATGGTAGAAGAGAACAAACTCTAAGGTACTTGTACTGTGAAGACTGGGATGATGTTAAAGAAAAACGAGTTGCCGGTGAAGTACAATGCAAAGAAGATGAAAAGTCGTGCTGTATTACACTATCTTTGTGTTCTGTTTTCATTTGACATAGGTAAGAACAGTTATACTTGATACACTGATTGTTCCTAGTAAACTTACACCTCGAATTTTGAAGGAATATTACTACCAAAAACTTTCCTGCACTATGATTTGCCTTTACATGACTGTTCTGAAATCCCCTCTTAAGAATACAAACATCACTATTTAAATAGTTTTTAAATATAAAACATTATTTCAATACTCCTGCACATCTTCTGTTTTCTTTATATAACAGAATCTTATAAAATCTTCTCTTGATTTCCTTAAATGTTGTTGAATTGAAATCTCCACATGTCCAACAGTTATTGCCTGGATCCTGAATGATTTCCATGGACCTTTACCTTTTTCGTATGAGTAATTGTTATTAAGCTTCAATTTTTGCAATTTCTCACTTTGTAAATCACATGCCCTTCCATGTTTTTAGTTTCAAGCTGTAACTAGAGTTACAGCTTGAAAAAAGAGTCTTTTATATCTCAAAATCTTCCTGAATGAAGAATAGTAGGGCTCACAAAAAGATCCAATATAAACCATCTTCTTCTCAATTCACTAGTAAACAGTAAAAAGAATCCTTCTATATTGACATGTGCCTGCCTTATGAACACTGATTTTATTACAGTCAAGAAATCCCTCTCAGCATCAGGAAAAGAAATGAGGCTGCAAAATTATCTCAGCTCTAGACATGTGTGGCCTCATGTTGGTAGAATGAATCTCAAGCTATAAAGCATATGTAAACTTCTGTTCATTGTCTTCTATCTTCTTTAATTTTGCATCAATAGATCCAGATTCTAATTCACTATTACTTGAAAATATTAAAGATCATTATCCCATGATCTCTGAAGCCTGCTTTGGCAGGTAGCATTCTCTTTTGATACTAGTGAAGGCCATCAGCACTATGCCTTTGCAGCTATGCAGTTGTAAAGATGTTACCTAGGAAAAAATACCAAACTACTACTTTCTCAGTTGCTCAACTTTGTTTCTTGCAATACCATCCACGGGCCACCATGGGCCCTATGCCTGAGTTAGGAATGAGGATTTGAAAACAAACCCATTCTGAAGCAAAAGGAGCACAGGAGTGATTTCTAGCTCATCTCTGGTAAGTTTCCTTCACACACGTAAGACAAGGTACAGGCACCTTCCACTTTCACATCAATATTTCCTTAACTGTGGAATCAAATTCTTAGCTTCTCCTCCCTGCCTGCTTTTTCCAACCTTTTCTGGATTCTTCCAAAATTAGTGCTGACAAGGCCAGAGTTTAAAACACCTGCTTTTCTGGATTCTTCCAAAATTAGTGCTGATATAGGCCAGAGTTTAAAACACCCATGCAACAATGAAAGGGACTTTTTAGTGGCAGACTAACCTTTCTATTGCTAAGACCAGTCTAGATGTCTTACAGCATTGCTATGCTGTGCTTGGGTGCTGCATGGGTAACCTTCAAGCTTCTGTTTCCTAACTGTTAAATGATTGTCTTTATGACTTCTCCACACTGACCAGTGAGTTGTCGTCTTCTGTTTAAATCATAAAGCAAAACCTTCCACTGAAGAGTAACACTCATCACATGGCACTTCCCTCCATACACAAACTGGTAGAAACTGCAGAAGAAACCATGAAATGAGCAGACACTCAGGTAACCATAATATAATGGGGAAACTACAGCCATTGTACAGAGGTTACACATCAAATCCATTCGAGTTCTCTGAATGCTAAGGGTGATCCTGTCAAAAAAGTATATTTGTATTTCCTGCTAATTGGGGGTAAGGTTTCAAACCCACAGAAATTAAATAATCACAGAATAGTAGTAAATACTCTCCCCTGGTTTAATAGCTGTTTAAAAGGAAATAAAGGATGAGAATAAATGTTGAGTTGGAAATTAATATGAAGGAGAATGTGTCCTGTTGAACACATTAAGTTTTCAAAAAAGGACATGAGAAGACAAAGTCAGCAAGGATATTTAATAATTCAGGATCACCAAAGTTTCATTATAGAGTCGCAGGGCATCAACAGATCTGACTTCCACAGATCCCAATGTTGTATTGTGGGGCAATGTAAAGACTGTAAACATTTAATAGTGATGAATGTAAACAGGAAAAAGCAACTCTTGATTATACATACATGTTAGGCGGTAAATTACCTATTACCTTTGCGATAATAGGATTTGAATTCACTGGGGATGATGTTAGGAATTCTTGGTAAAGGAATATAGAACAAAACATTATGTTACCACATAAATCTATAGTATCTTGCTTTCAAAAATAGAAACAGAAAAGGATGAAGAAAGATATCAATAACTTCCATGTAATGAAAGATTAACTGGACTCTTCAGTGAGGACAAGAGACAACTCAGATCATATAAAGTTATGAATGGCATGGGGGAGGTGATAAAGAAATGATTACTCACTTATTTCTCACAGCACAGGACAGCACCCAATGAAATTACAAGGCAGCTGCTTTAAAACAAATCAAAGGAAGTACTTTTTCATACAGCACATAATTAAATACCAGAACTCAAGGGATACTATGGAGGTCAAAAATATAAGTGAATTCAAAACATATTAGACGTATAACACGGTCCCATCAGTGGCTGTTAAGTATGATATTCCAGATGAAATTTCCATCTTGGGAAGTCCTGATGGCCAGAAGCTGGGAGAGCATGAAATAAAAGGATTGCTTTGCATTTGCCACGTTTCTTGTATACCTTGTCTAAGCATCCACAATTGTCACTGTCAGAGACAAGAGACCGAAGCAGCCTTTTTGGTCTCACAGGTTATAGCTACTCTTATACCTGGTAGTTGGTCTTGTCAGTGGAGAGGGGGGCAACATGTAGTGACACACAAATTCCATGTGCAAAGTGGTTTATAAATCAGGTACAGCAGTGGTGCAAAGATACTCAGGATGGGTTTATTCAAGCACGGTAGGGCACGGTGTAGGGCAGCTTGCTAGTCTGAGTGCAGTGTATCATGAATTCGCTGAACCAGTCTGGGTCCAGAAGTGTGCTCTCAGTTGGATTTAGCCCTGTTGAATGTCTCTTGGCTCCATGCAATGCCAGTTCAAATGTCTCCTACAGCAGGCCTTCCCTTTCTGGGGGCACAGGCTCTGCATAACACAGTGCACTGCTGGCTCCACACACCTGTACTACCCTCTCACCATGCTAGAAAAGCTCCCCCAGGAGATACACCAAAGACTGCATTGAGGAGACTTCAAACCAAGCTCTCCGGCTGACAGTTCAGGTTTGAGGTGGAATCTACCTTCTCCTTCT